AGGCAACCAGAACCGCCAAAAATCCAGGGCACATTGCTCCGCAACCAGAACTGGCAAAAGGCCAGGGCGCACTGTCCTGCTGTTGTCCTCTCTTGTCCTCTGGCTGCGCTGACCAGCCCTGGGCACACTGACTGCCGCGCCCCTGAACTCTGTGGCCGAGCTCTGTGACCGGGTCTTGTCCTCCTTTTTCTTCTCTTGTGGCCGAACAATTAGCGAGGTCGACGCCGACAAAAATCATTGATGAATCAATTTGCTCTTGGGGAGAAGGTATAGGGCGTACCCAGATTATTTTTTGCTTAATGTTGGTCCCAACGCATGGTTTTGAAACTGTTTGGGGTCTATGCTGTTTTTTTGACTGTCCTTGTCCTTTGTGCTCCACCAAGTTGTTTGTGTCAAAAACTGACAACCAAAAGTAACATTGGTTTCGATTCTAATGCGTGCTGTATATAGTTCCCTTAAAAGCCTGACACAAAAGCAAAGCCATACAACTTCCAAGGTCCAGGGGAGCACAAAACGAACACAACGCGCTTAAGGCTTAAGGCAAATAGGCTTACCACTTGCGTGGCCATGCACACAAAAAAAACACCGCAATGGAGAACAATGCAACAGGTTTTTCTTCAAGGGCAACGGTGCCACAGTAGCTTCGCAGCAATCAACCACTTTTGGGCTGATCTCTTCGATACCGCTGATGGGTGTACTGATCGAGCCACGCGACAACTGCGGCCTACGTAATCTTCAGCCATTTGGGTTGCAAAAAGGGCGGGATTCAAGATAAAATCAGATGAACAATCATCCAACTGGAGCTGTATATCAGCCGCCACGTGTAGCAAAAAGTGGAACTTCGGTGTAAGACTGAAAAAACACAAGTTCCGCCTGTGACACTTCAGAGCACACTGGTGATACTTGTCTGACCACAGATTCAGTAAAGCTAAGGCTTCACTCCCTTCCTCACGGTGAAGAAACGGGTGTTTCTGAGTAAAAACCAAACTCAAAAAATCTTGTATGGCTTTGGCGCAGCAGTAGGCTTCAGCCGAAATCTCATCTAAATCCACCTCCTGTCTTTCCAGAAAGTGGATCACAAAAAGAAGGAACAGTCGGGTATCAGAGCCTTTGAAACTGCATGAAGGGTACTTGTGCATAGATGACCAGCCCAAATTCTCACGAGTGAAATGCTTTACAACCGGGTTCTCACCGATGCTCCGGCAAAAAGCTCGAAATTCACTGTACGCACTTCCCAACTGCGAAGGAATGCTGGTCCCAGCCTTACAGCATACAGAAACAAGATAATCAAATGAAAATTCAGCTTCAGTCTAAACTTCCTTCCAACAAAGGAAAACCTGTTGACAAAGGAAAACTTCATTCATTTGCAGAGGAACAAAAAGTCCAATGGATGTCAAATAACAAATCACATTGATGGCGAACCCACGGACCACCCCTAGGTGGCACAGATGAAAGAGATCTTTTGACAAGAACATCTCATTGTTCCCACCTGGCACAGTTGTGAAAGGGCCTGGGTTTCGCCACGGGCGCTCAAGACAAACAGTGTTCCTCCAACGAGCTTCTTCCCTATAATCTGTATGCGGTGTGTCAACGTCATCAGCCAAGCACCACGGGCACATGGGGTTCGGAATGCGGTCAAAATTCCGTGCGCAGTGATATGCACGAGCTTGCGCTGGAAGGTCGCCCTCGTGTCCCGTCCAAGCAAAATATAACTGCCCAAAAGGTGTATTATTCAAACCTTCAGTGTACAAGTCCATGGCCTGCTTAGCCATGTAAGAACAAAGTTCATCCAGCACCATATTTCCCACCTCATAGCCTGCGTTTGCATTTTTGTAGTCTTCATGGGGCATGCGCGACCAAAAATAATACCGATCCCACGAAGCAGGCGTGCTCGCAAGAACAGGCCCCCAACTGAATTGGTACACAGCAGTTTTCCGCAATCCAGTCCCTTCGTCCGAATGGAACTTCAGGGGCACACACCTCGATAAGTGAGCACAGTGATCCACAAACACTGGGTGTGCGGGGTAGTACTTCTTGTAGCAAATCCAAAACTTCTCCAGCGTTTGCTGAAATTGCGCAAAGTCATTCACACCGAATCCGCTCAACAGTTTCTCCGGGTAATTTTGAAGCAGGTGATGCGCAACAGCCTTGATTTCCAAACAGTGATGAACTTTCCCAGTTGTTTCAAGCCTGATTTCCTTCAAAGAGATAGGAAGGGAACCACCAATGTTCAAAACCTGTTGGATAAATACGGACTCCTTGTCTGATTTGCTTCCGTGCGCGATGGCAAGCTGTGTCATCTGCTTGTACCCAGGGCATCCTGGCAACATAGTTTGCCTTTGCGAGTGTGCAGACTCTGAAGCTTTGTGCGCATTGTGCTCCTTAGGTGCATCACATTTACAACCAGCTCACACTATTATTTGGTCCTTTGCTGCTGAATTTTGCAACCCCAGGTTTGCGTTGAACAAGACTGCTGTAGGGAGAAGAAATACATGTGAAGGAATTGGTTTCAAAATCTCTCTTTGGGATTTGTCAAAATGGAAAGATTGTATATTTGTCCAGTCCAAAGCCACAACAACCCGGTTACCAACATGTCAGCGAAAGGAAAGATAAAGTTGGGTTGGCGTTGAACCTTCTGACGCCAATCGACCACACAAGCGAACACCCACAGAATAACCAAGATTCAACATACTGCTGCAAGGTTTTTCTCACAGAATCTGCACCTGCAGTTGTTCCACCGCAATGACATCTAAACCACGTGCGTTTGGGAGCAAACTTGTATAATTACATCGGCAATTTGGGCAATCCTTTTGCTCGCATGTCTCAGGTTCACAACCACGCACCATAGAAGCACTGTTTGGCTTCTGCATACCCCTAGTAAACGCAGCCAGGTTGAACAGCCGCAGTTTACCATCCCCAACAAAAAACCAGGCAGGTGTTCAAACAAAATTGGCAAAACTTTGGAAGTTGTCAACTCTTTGACCCAACATACTCCTGTGTCCTGGGGGATCTAATCCTCAGCTTTGGCAGCGGCTGCTTTAGCCTTTGCCCTGGACTTGGCCGCTGTTTTTGGCAGATGAACTTTCACTGCCGCCACCTCATTATTGAAGCGGCTGCAATTCTTTTCAATAACTGGAGCAATGGTTTTGTACACCGACTTGCACCCTGGGTTCTTAGAACCCTGGTTCGTCTCTATATCACAAATTTCCTTGTAGTTGGTGTTGAGGTCTCCTCAGATACAAGCACCATGCATACTGTGTAAAAGTATGCACACGCGCCACAAACAGTTCTATTTCTGACTCCTTTCTCAATGCGCAGCTCCCTTAATTTGGGCACATTGGGGACAAAAGGGTCAACAAAACTTTGATAGAACGGTTGGGAAACAAGGTATGGCTTTGCAAAGCCAAAGGCGCGGACCGACTTCTCCAAAGCGTCCATATCCTCCCTCAGCAGAATTGAGTCAAACAGTTGAAGTTGACACTCAATGAACAACATCTCAGCCATTTCCAAACCAAAAAACGACAAAGTTTGGGAATTCTTTGGGAACACCAAGTGACTGACCAGTGGAAGGCTTCGCTGCTTGCCACTTGTCAGAAATATCCTTGAAGAGTGCTCTCCGGTTCAAACAAGCCTTCTTGTACTTCGCGACAAACTCTGGAGCGGTCTCACTCCCTTCGATGGGTGGAAACGCCACAGATTTCTTTTTGGTCTTGTCCTGCTCCTGAGGTGTATCAGGTTGATCCACAACCTCCTCCATCACATCCCCAAGCCCAAGGCTGAATTGGTCATTGAAGAGCCCCGTATTCTCCATAATCTCCTCAAGTTCCTTGAGACGCTCACCCCCTTGCCTCAGCGCAAGCAGAATGGTCAGAACCCTTCAACACGAGTCCCCCAAAAAATCAACACCAAATAAAAACGTATAACATTGGATGGAGGTGCTCCACTTTGTCACTGGTAAGCACCAGGTACTTTGTCACTTTCTCGTATGGGCATTGCTTGGTCAACTTCTTGGCAGTGCAATACTGAACAGCGCCAGCAATCTTTGTCCTTTCAAGAAAATTCCAAAACACATCACTCAGCCATGGTTGTAGAAGCTTTTAAGCCCGTTCTCCCCTCACTGGAAACTTCCTACAAAAAATTGCGAATAAACACCAAGGGTCTCAGACCAATGGTGAATAGTGGACATCTCGGTAGCAGTCAACCATTCATAGCCTTTCAGCGTTTTGGTCCAATCTCTGGACAGCTGGCGCAAGCGCACTACAGCCTCCAGTCTGGCTCGGTTCGTCTCGTATGCCTCTTCTGGAGAAAAGCACTTGGTGACAAACAGCGAAAGAAGCTTGTTTCTTGTTGGGCCCCCACTTCTCCACTGCTCCAGGATCTCAGGATGAACACCTTTGTCTTCACCACCCTTGCACAGGCGATATAAGAATCCCCACGCCTGTGGGCAAGACATTGAATTGATCACCTTCCCTCCACTGCTTGGCTGCTGCCTCACTGCTTCCCTTAAAACATTGGAGGGTGCTGCGGGTATACACATAACTTTTGTCAAAATTGTGGGTGAAACAACAGTATTTTTTCACACTTGTATAGCAGGAGACAAAAGCAACTCAAGCAGTAGGACTAGTCGCATGTCAATTTCGGATGATGCCCCAGTATGATGTGACCCAGGCGAGGTTTGAGGCGTACACACAACTGAAGGGCTCCAAGCGAAATCAGCCACCACACCATTTGGGGTAGTAGCAGAAGCAGGAGTAGCTGGCTTTGGAGGAGACTCAAACTGCGCCAGTCCCATTTGCCCTGAACCAGGCGATGAAGGAGCTGACCCAACACGGGCCCTTTTGCATGGTGCACCAGCGTCGCCCACAAACTCAGGCTGAAGAACGCATGCCTGCTGCAATTCTGCTTCACGCTGCTGGAGCTCAAGTTGCAACTGTGCAAGCCCTTGGGCTGCTGCTTGCTTCTGAGCTGCTGCCTCCTGCCGCTGCTGCTGCGTTTGCAAAGCCATCTCTTGCTCCTGGAGGGCTAGGTTTTGGGCTGCGCTTTCACGCGCAGCCTCCTGTTGCTGCTGCATGTGCAAAGCCATCTCATACGGCTGCAGGGCTAGCTCCTGAAACATTGCCTCATGTTGCTGCGACTCCTTCTGCAGCAAGCTCAAAGCCATCTTGTGCTGAAACGCTTGCTCCTGGGCCGCTGCTTCTTGTTGCTGAAGGGCTTGCTTTTGAGCTGCTGCCTCGTGCTGCTGCAACGCCATCTCGTGTTGGTGTAAGGCTTGCTTTTGGGCTGCCACTTCCTGCTGAAGGGCTTGCTTTTGAGCAGCTGCCTGTTGCTGCAACGCCATCTCATGTTGTTGAAGGGCTTGCTTCTGGGCTGCTGCTTCTTGTTGCTGAAGGGCTTGCTTCTGGGCTGCTGCTTCTTGTTGCTGAAGGGTTTGCTTCTGGGCAGCTGCTTCTTGCTGCTGAAGAGCTTGCATTTGAGCTGCTGCCTCACGCTGCAA